CTTCATTCAACTCTCAGTACTTTCTCTCGGCTACATTGCACTTGATCAAACCCCACCCCACATTCTCCACCCTCCTCGCATCGATTTTAGATCGCTTGTTCCCTTGTCCTTGAGCTTGTTGGCTCCCCCCCTCCCTCTTCCCCCCTCCCCACTCTTCCCTGTCTCCCCAGAACTGTTGGTCCCATTGTTTTCTCCTAGGACTTGTTTATCTGGCCTATCTTATATAGATAGAATGCAAAAAAAAAAAAGAAGACGACGGAAAAAAAAAATAGTTCCAGGTCTGTCTGCTGACCCTTATGAATGTTCTCCGATCAAGTCTGATGAGGTGCCAAGCCCTGCCCTCCAAGTCTGAAGTCTATTTTCGGGATTCCTCCAGGACTTCATTACTTTGCTCCCCTTGCTGCTCTGTTTCACCCTGGGGGGTGGGGTGGGGGTGGGAGGGTGAGGGGGGTATCAGGCCGGGCACAATTCTCACACTGTCTCGAGTGCTATCCCCTGCAGCACTGTGGGTCAGCAAGGGGAAGTCATGTATTGTGGTGGGCCTGGCCCTAGGGTCCTCTCTGTGCCTTGGCTGCTCAAGCAGGAGTGTCGTCCTCAGGCCTTGATGGGCCAGGATGCTTCTCTCTCTCTCTCTCTCTCTTAGTTTGTTCCCCTGTGGTCTGGGCAGACCTGCCACTCTCCCCAGGCTGTATCTTCAGTGCTGTTCTCTGTAGTGCAATCTTCTTGGGAGGGGTCGATGTAGCTGGGATTGGGGCTGGCCCGAATACCTCTCTGTTAGTTTGCTGCTTCGTACAGGTATGTTGCTCTCAAGGCTTGGCGTACCAGGTTGAGGTCTGGTCCTTCTTGCCCTTCCTGTGGAGACATAAACAATACCCTCCCTGTAGGTGCATTAGTGCCCTGTCCCCCTGCTACCCATGTCCTCTTTTAATTTTCTTTCCCCCACCTTTTTAGTTGGCTGCCATATGCATCGTGGGTTGGGTCTGACCCTTGTCAGAATGCCTGGGCCTCACCCTGGGAATCTGTGCATTTAGTGGCTTTCCCCTATGACCCTTGTGCTTTTTAAGCTTACCGCAGTGGACTCATGTTGTGCTTGTTCTTTTGTGCTTGGCCTACTTCGCCTAGCATAATTTCCTCCAACTCTTCCCATGCAACGATGTGCTTCATGCATTCACCACTGCTTTTTAGGGCTGCTTAGTACTCCATTTTATAGTAGAACCCCGCACCTCGATGCTAATCCATTCTAGGAGGAGTGTCAAGATGCAGTTGAGTTCTGAATCAATTTTTTTTCCTTAAGAAATAACTGGAAATAGGTTAATCCATTCTCAACCACCAAATTTTTATCCCAACCTTGCCTTTTTATACAAAACATTACACAGAAAATTCAAAGTAAATAAGTTCAGAGTAAATAATATAATTTAAATAAGAAACACAACATTAAAAAAGTTTTGAACAACTACAGTCTGGCCCATGCCTTGAGATGGATGAGGATCTGGATCTGTGGACACAGATGTGGAGAAGAGGGATGAGAGAGAGTCATTGTTTGGAAGGGGAACCCCCTTCCATCAAATCAACTGGTAGCTACTTTTCAGGAGTTTTTTTCCTTCTTTGTCTTTTTTTCACCAGGACCTGGCTGGCTTTCTCAAAAAAAAAAAAGAAAATCTGTCTCCTGTGGTCTGCTGTTGGTGTTTCCTTAACTGTTTTCTAAAAGGGTTTACTAAATTATCATCAACAATATCGATAACACAGTTAACCAGTTCCTTATCCTGATAATTCTTTTCAAAAAACTCTGTTTTAGGACCCACGTGTTTTATCTAAAAACAGTACAAAAAGCCACAGAAACTAAGGAAATTATAGCAAAACCCTTGGAACACAGCTGCAAAAAAGTTTATAAACAATGCGAACTACCAATGTCAACTAACGCTGAGTGACCGAAACACGAACGGCTTTTGTGTGTCGGGTTGGATTCCGATGTCTGTTTGAGCTCTGATGCACAATTTTCTTGACATTTCACGTCGAAATCTGATTATGTCGAGTACTGATGCGGTGCTACTGTATGTAGTACCAGAGTTTTTAATCCATTCGTCCGATGATGGAAATTTAGGTAGTTTCCAACTCTTTGTGATTGTGAACTGTGCTGCGATGACCATTGGGGTGCAGATGTCTGGCTGGGGTCTGTTTCTTACCTATTCGGAGTATATGCCCAGTAGGGGGGGTTACTGGGTCCTCATATGCCATTCTTAAATGATTTTCCTTACATTAGAATTTCTTCAACCATCATTCATCCAATAATGATTTGTTGTGCCAGTGCCAGTTTCTGGAGACTCAAGGCTAAACAAGACATAAATAATCTGTGTCCTCTTGTTGGCTGATAGTCTCAGAGGGAAGGCAGATATTAAACAATCATTCACATAAACATGTCATTAACTACCATTATGGGATCTCCCAAGAAATGCAAGTCCGAGGTACATGAAAAAGTAGCCGGGTGGCAAGGCTGGTCAGAAAAGATCTCCCCCGGGGGAAGTAAAAGGGTGGACGGATATTAGCCACGCGAAGCGGGTGGTATAGGCATTTCAGCCAGAGATCCGTATTTGGGATGTCCAAGCAGTTGGGAGGAACGTGTTGAGAGATGAGTGTGCCAATATCAGGGAGGAATGCCGGCTTTGGAAAGTCACGGGCATTGTGTCTCAACACCTACCCTTCAGTGCTTCCTTCATCCTGCTCTGCACTGTTGTCTCGACATCTTTTGGGTGGGGGAGGTGGGCAGGAGGGTCCTATGAATGTTTTGCTTCCACCCAAGAGCCCTGCTGATGTAGTGGTTGAACACTCAGTCGCTGACCAGAAGGTCCTTGGGTCTAACCTCCCAGCTGCTCCACAGGAGACAGGGATGGCAGTGCATGCCCATAACCATCTGAGTTGAATCAGCTCCATGGCAATAGGTTTGGTGTCATTTGGTTGGTGCTCCCTCGGGGCTAGGAACTTGTCTTTAACTCCTTTTCTGTTCTCCAGCACACAGCATCGGGTTGGCATGCAGCCTAACATGAAGTGAGTGTAATGAGAAACAGGAAGCAACTTTATTCCTGGTAGGAATAAAGCTAGGAGTTGACCCATTTTCTGGTTTCCTTTCTCCGAGGTTCGTGTAGATGGAAGCCCTGGTGGTGTCGTAGTTACGCAGTTAGAAACCACCAGCAGTTCCGTGGAAGAAAGACTGGGCTTTCTACGCTCATTAACAGCGACAGTCTCAGAAACTCACCGGAGGTTGCTATGAGTCCGCATTGGCTCCGTGGTGGTGAGTTTGGTTTGGAGTTTCAGATAGAGGACTTCATCTCTGGTTACTCTTTGGTAGTATGTTGCCACCTAGTGTTTCTTTTCATTATAACAACCAAGGGAGCCCAGTGGTTAAATTGATAGGTACACATTTTCTTTCCATTGGCATACATGAGCTTACCAACCTGCTCTCCTTCCATCTATACATCCACAAATGCGGATGCCCATCTGCAGCGCTTCCTGTGAGTTGAACATGTCATAAGCCATTTCAACTTTCTTGTGGCTCTCTGATCCTGTCCCTATCTTAAAAGCTGCCAGCTACCAGGTTCTACCTTCCCTGAACTAGAGTGCTTTCTGTCCGGACACATGGTGCATCCTAAATGATACAGTCCTGTTGTGCTAGCGTTAATGTTCCATTCTCTCTTTCTTCCCATGCCAAACTATGGATCTGAGGGACAGTGACTACCTTAGTCACCCTTGTGGTTTCTGTGACCAGCCTTGTGCTGCTTATCATGTGGGAAAAAAAGTGTGTTGGCTAGACTGAATTCCTGTTACCTTTTGTGTTAGTCTGGGTTGACTAGAGAAACAAATTCAGACACTCATATGTGTATAAGAAAGAGCTTCATATCAAAGAGCAATTGTATATTAAGAAAACATCCCAGCCCAGTCCAGATCAAGTCCATAAGTCCAATATTAGTCCACATGTCTGATTCCAGTCTATAAATTCCTCTTCAGACTCAGGCAACACATGCAATGATGCAGAGTGCAGGAAGATCACAGGCCAGTGGATGAAAGTCTTGTGGATCCAGTGTTGGTGGAAGCATCTCAGTGTTGGCATGGGTCTCTACATGGCTCTTCCAGCTCCAGGGCTCTGGCTTTATCAGCGTATCTCTATGTGGCTTGTCAACAGTAATGTCTTGCAGGGAGAGAGTGTGCCTGGCCTCCAGTGAGCTACTTATCTCCTAAGGCCTCCAAATTAGGTCATCAAGCTGTGACCTGATTGACAGACTAGACTCCACCCCTTCCTCAAGTCGACAGTAGATTATGTAACTGCCACACCTTTGTAGGCCACTTGCTTGCTTGTGGAATGATCCTTTGGGAGTTTCCTAGGAACTGTGAAGACAGATAGCCCATAACTGACAGCAGTGCTAGGAACCCCTATGCCTTTCCCCATTGCTGTGTACCTTTGGGAGACTTATAGCTCTCTCTGGATTATAGTGGCCCCACAAGCTGGTGGTCCTCATGTGTAATAGGCTTCCCATCAACATACAAAGCAACCCAAGTCCAGTCGCGGCTCCCCTCTCTCCAGCTTGTTTCCATTCGCTTTTAGACCAGCTTGTTTCTCCAGCTTCATCAGCCACTTCTGAGCGCCCCCCTCCCATCCCATGTACATTATGCCAACTGTGAGCAGATGCGTTTAATAAAGGTCTATTCCTGGGACAGCCTCAGTCCTCCAGGTTTTATAGCTCTGGAAGAAAAAGGCAGATCTTTTTCGGGCACATGGCTTAGAAAAGAGAATAGTGGTCGTTTTTCACCCCCTCAACTGGTACCATGGTGTGAGGAAATGAAATCACTTGGTCTGGCTCTTCTATCCATAGTCTTTGTAACTCAAGACCAAATGACTTGGGTGGAAATATGTTAGTAGGATGTCTGGGCTGAATATGAGGGGGTGGGCCCATTTTGCCATTCCCCTGTGTTGAAAGTGAGCCATTTCAGAGGCAAGAAGAGAGACTCTCATGCCGGCCAAAAATGAAGAGCCTCAAGAGAAGAGCAGATCGCAGTTTCCTGAGAGGAGCAAGAGACAGAGTGTGAGTTTCCCAGCCACGCCTTCAGGTAGGAGGCTGGCTTGCAGAGTAGGGCGCCCCTGCGTCATTTATCAGGGAGAAAGGAGCTGTGGCCAAGTGAGAAGCCAAAGACCAGAGAAAGACACACCTGCAGGGATGGTTGAGATGAGGCACCATAAAGAAAAGAAGCGTATTCTTAATGTTTTCTCATCATGAATTGTTGTAATCAGTTAACTTCCCTAAGACACCCCCATAATCGTTGAGTACTGCCTGTGAGCTGTGTGTGGCCATTGACACGCCTGGTCAAACCCAGCAACGAAGCAGAGTGTGGTGGAAGGAAGGGGTGGTGTCAGGACAGAATAAAGATGGTTGGAGCCTGGAGGAGGCACGTCTGATCTCTGCCTCATAGAACTCCGCCTGGGGCCGAGTTGGATTCTCCTTCCCCTTTGTATAGCCACAGGAGATCCAATGTGGCTCCCATGCCTTTTTCACACACGGCAATGGACCCTGGTGCCGGTGCTGGGCTGCAAACCAAAAAGTTGTAGTTCGTTGGAAGTGGGCCTCTGTGAAGAGGGACCAGATGGAAATTCTACTCAGAATCCACTCAACAGCAGGGAGTTCATTTCAGGTTTTGGTTTGGTGCCTAGCCTGGAGGTCTTTGTGCTAATGCATTTCGAGACACCGCTACAAAACAGAACGCAGCTACAATAACCTCACTCCTGGGCAAATTCAGAGGGGTTTGCACACAGGTTTATAAGGGGTTACACGTATTAACAATGCACCCCTACCCGTGCCCCCCAGTAGTAGAGACGGAGTAGTCATCACTGAGTTATTTGCAGTGCTGGGGAGCTGGCCGCGGCTTTGGTGCCCACCCCTTGGGGAATGTAAGTAAAATGCGGTTGATGTACAACCAACGTGCAGCCCCCAGAAGAGGAAACCCTCTGCACTGCCCCCTGTGGATTTCTGAGGCGGTAAATCTTTAAGGGAATAGAAAGCCTCATCTTTCTCCCACAGAGACGCTGGTGGATTCGAACTGCTGACCTTGTAAGTTAGCAGCCCAACAGGTAACACACACCACAAACAGGAGTCCAAAGAAAAAAGAGGTAGGGGGAGAAAAAGTTGGCCTTGCAAGAGAGGAGCCCAGGATGCTATAGGGGTTTTCAAGAGTGATTCCACAAATGTTTTTCCAGGGTGCCTTGAGCTCCGCATCGTATTTTTCTCACCACTCGCGACTGTGAAGGCCTTCGAGGCAGGGCCTGTGTTTTCTGCCCCTTGGCTTTCACTCTGTGCTCCCAGACACAGTAGCTAAAGTACTCCAAGGAGATGATTTCTGGTGCCCTGATCCAGTCGCTTTGTCACTGGGAGCCGAAACCGGCCTCCAGTTACCAGCTCCACAACGCCCCCATCTGTCTCCTTCGTCCCAGGAGGCCTTTGCCTTTTGGCCCTCTCCTTTCTCTCGGGATTTCCCACGCAACCTGGGGACCTCGCCCAGGTTCTCAGTGGCCCCGCCCCCATTTCTCTGGCCCCGCCTAGTTCAGGAAGACGTTTGCATATTTCTTTGCAGAACACGCCCAGACGCTCCTCGCCCCGCCCCTCTCGAATGTCCTGGAGCTCCCCCTAGGGGGCGTGGCGGTTGCCTGGCGACGGGAGGACGCGCCGAGCGCCGGGTTTCGGCCGGGCGCGGGGCAGGGTGATAACGTGGCGCCGAGTTAGACGCCAGGGGGAGAGCACAGCCCCTTCCTCAGACTCCGCGATCCCCACAGGAGCCTCTGAGGCCGCCCCCGAGACATCAAGATGACTGAGGTCAGGAGTCAGCGCCCCTCTCTCTGTCGCCTCTCGCTCGCTCCTCCCGATTGTACCATATTCTGCCGTGGGCTCATTCCTGTCACATCCACTGATTCCCGTGTGTCCCATCATCACCCGCAGCCCCTGGGTCACGTTTACCTCTTGCCCTCCTTTCAGTTCTGGGGACATAGCCCCCTTCTGGCACTCTACTGGGAAATTCATGAGTTGACACCATAAGTGAGCGTGGTATCACGTGGTATAAGACAGGGCAGCCCAGAAATCCTGGAGAAATCGTCCCTGGTTGGGAGGATCTGGAAGAAGACTTGTTGTAGACTACTGTCACCCCTCTTCACTGACTCTGCCCACCCTGATGTGGTTGTGGGGGCTCAGACAGACGATAGGGAGCCACCTCCATCTCCTCCACTTCCAGTCTCCACTGCCCCTTCATTCACGAATTCCTGTGGTATTATGTTGTAGCCTCCTTTCAATCCTTTATATTGTAATGTTTTTATAATCTTAAATATTATAGTGTGGCCCCCATCTCTATCCTCACCACTGAAGGTATTTCCGAAACTCTTCAGTGACCGCTGTCTGTCCGTGATAGTCCGCAGCCTCAGCCTCTTGTCATTCTCCAGCCATTCACAGTCTCCCGTTCCCTCTCCTGCGCCACCTCCCCTTATCTTCATCACACGGTGGTGCTCAGTCCTACACAGGACCAACTCCTTGCTTTGCAGGATCTAGGGAAAAATTAAAATGTGGGACCCCTTGAGCGAAAACAAAGATGGTAAAGCATTAAGCCAAGGGCAGTTCCCCTCGAAGCCCAGTAACTTGTGTGACTGTACAAGTCAGGCGCTCACAACCTTGACTCTGGTCCCAGATTCTCACTACCTGCACTCCCCCACCCCCCTTCTAGCTTCTTTCCTTATCATCTCCATACTACACACAGCTCATCACCCCATCTCCTCCACTTCTGATAGGCTCAATCTTTCCTGTGGTCAGCAACTCCCTCCTCTCTTCTCATCCAGTTTCTTTTACATCCTCCAACGTCTTCACTCCTTGGGCTCCATCGCCCTCATCTGCCTCTGACAGCCAGGTGCCTGGGGTCCTGTTTCTTCCTCCCGTTACCGGTACTCACCCATAACACCTTTCTTCCCATGTTCTTTTCCGATTCTTCCTAGGTCACCTTCAATTTCTCTTTATTGGTTTTGGGCATTTCCTTCTTTTCTCCCTAACTTGATATCTTGGCGTATTCCATTTGTCTTCCTTCCCCATTCATAGGCCTCCCAAACCGATTTGATGAGGTAACCATCTCCCAGTCTACCTTCTCTTTCACGATCTTCTCTCATTTCTTCCTTGCTCCTGTTTTTCTTCCCACTTAACCTCAACCAAGTTTCCCTTCTGCATTGCTTTCACAAGTCTCCACGTCCTCTCTGACTCCTTTGCTCATTGCAGCTCAGTCTCTCCCATTTCCTTCTCCTTCTCCCCACTGGTTGGTACTTCCAACCTGGAACAGTGCCTCGCACATAGTAAACACTCAATGGATAGATGCTGATGGAAGACCGCCACAGTGCCTCTCTGAAAAATTGATGCAATCTTGCTTTTTGAAAAATGCCATCATGGGCTACCAACTCTGCATTGTAGATACCAACTACATATTGGCCACAGCTAAGAGATTACCCTTGCTTTCCTTTTCGTAGTTGGTGGTGGGTGCTGGGGAGCCAGTCCCAACCCATAGCGACCCCATGCACAACAGAATGAACACTACTCAGCCATGCGCAGGCCTCACAGGTGTTCCGATGCTGGAGCCCATTGTTTTAGGCACTGTGTCAACTCATCTCGTTGAAGGCCTTCCTCTTTTCGCTGCCCCTCTCTTTTATGGAGCATGATGTCCTTCTGACAATGTGTCCAAAGTATGTAAGACAAAGTCTCGCCATCCTTGGCTCTAAGAAGCATTCTGGTTGTACATCTTCCAAGACAGATTGGTTTGTCCTTTTGGCAGCCTGTGGTACTTTCAATATTCTCTACCAATATGGCAGTTCAGACACACCGATTCTTCCTTTTTATAGCAGTATGTATTAATAACAATTTGAACAAATCTTTTCTGCCTAGAAAGTTTCTTTAAAACTTTTATATTTTGGAAAATGTTCCATTCCTGTAATAACTGCCAAGTGTACAGGGAACACCTGGCCCACAAGCAAATCAGTAGACTGGTGATCAAGTGTGGGCATTAATACCATTTACAGGGATGGGACCGAGAACATTGCCATGATAAATGTTTGTGTGTGCTCACGTTTAGTATCAACAAGAGGAAAGCACAGAAGAGAGGCGGCAGTTGCATATTGCCTTAATATGATTTTTGCTCCTTTGTGAAATGGTTACATTACAATAATCTGCTTTTAGGAAGAAAGTTCAAAATTAGTACTAACATTGTTATACAAGATGGAATTGGCATGCTTGTGAGGCCACAATGGTTTTAGGAAGAATCTCCCTCAAGACTGCATTTTGTTTGCATCTCATCTTTAGAGATTTAATTAGCAGTACAAGTGTTTTTGAAGACCCCAAATAAGTAGACTTGTCAAAGCAGAAGGTAAGCTGGACTATTTACCCAAAATCTTCAGGGAGCATTGAAATTTTACTCCATTCCTAGAGATTTGCTCCGTTGTTTCTTTGATTAGCAATAGAGTTTTGATGCCAAAGTTCTGTATGCGCTTGTGTAAAATATTGTGTCCTGGTTTGTTTCTCTAGAGAACCCTGTCAGACACAAAGACCCTACAGATCTTGTCACTCCTGTGCTCTGGGATCCCGACTGGTGGTCTGTGGGCTGCAGATCCATGTGCTCCACATTCTGCAAAAGGCCAGTCATGGCCTCTGTCGTCTGTTCCCAACTCCCTAGCCTTTTGCCCACTTGGGCTTCTACCAAGGTCATGAGTCTTTCCCAAGCTTTGTTCTCCTAGGATGCCCTTTCCCCTCCCTCTACCTTGTGAAAATTCTGCTCTTCTCTCTCGTCCTGCTCACATGCCATCTCCATGATGGCATTTGCTTTTAGTGTTGTGATTGAGAGTCGTTCCTTCTTCCTGTAGGCTTGTAGAGAGTAGATGCACGTAGAACTCTGACTTTACAGATGCTGCTGTTGGGAGATGTGGTTGAGCTGGTTCTGACTCACGGCGATCCTGTGCACAGTAGGACCATGCACTGCTCAGTCCTGCATGATCCTCAAAATCACTGCTATGTTTGCGCCCATCGTTGTGGCTACTATGTAAATCCATCCTGTTGAGGGCCTGCTATTGGTTGCTGACCATGTATGTTACCAAACATGATGCCCTTCTCTAGATACGGCTGCCTTCTGATAACGTGTTCAAAGGACAGGAGCTGAAATTACCCTTCTAAGGCGCATGCTGATGTGTTTCTTTCCAAATGAATTTGTTCATTCCTCTGGCAGTCCGTGGTGTCTTCAATGTTCTTTTTTGAAAAATCATTTTATTGGGGGCTCATACAACTCTTATCACAATCCATCCATACATCAACTGTTTAAAGCACATTTGTACATTTGTTACGCTCATCATTCTCAAAACATTTGCTGTCCACGTAAGCCTCTGGCAACAGCTCCTCATTCCCCCTCCTCCCTGCTCTCCCCTCCCTCACGAACTCTTGATCATTTATAAATTATTACTTTGTCATATCTTATACTGTCCGACGTCCCCCCTCACCCACTTTTCTG